AGTTTGAGAATAAAGCAGGAAAAATTTAGAAGAGGAAAGGATTCACCTTGTAATTAGGTTTCTGAACTCAGATATTCCCATGACCTTGACCTGAGGTAGCAATGACTCATTTTCAGAGGAGGGGCTGAGAAGAAACAGAGAAAACCTGGCCCCAAATTCGCTAAGTATAACTTGCATCCCTTTCTTAGGAGAAGAGGAGGAAATGCATCTACAGACTCAAGGACAGCATTTTTTGAGAAATGTTCACAAAAAACTAGTTCCCCAAGATGTTGGCACGCTTGTTGGGTCTGGGATGGGCAGACAGGAAGCTTCGGTGACCAGACTCGGGGTGAGTGGGCCCTGCTTAGAGGCTCAAGCTGTACCCATAGAGAGACCTGTTTATATTTGTTCAGGCCTGAGTTTCTCTAACACCTCCTGCCTAGGTCCTGTGTAACCCCAGTACATATCTGCACCTACTTATGATAGAATCGGAACCTGAGGACCACCGTTTGAATAAGCCCACCCACCATCTCAGAGAGACCTAGGTGTCATCTTCCCCAGGCTACAAGAATCCTCCAGAAGACACGTCAGCAGGCCACCCGCCCACCTTTCCCCTGACCCCTCCCCTCTATGAGCCCGCCAAAGCCCTGGCCATAAAAGGCCTCTCGACCTGTTAGAGACCCTTCTTCCTTTGTTCTGCTGGCCAGGACAGAGGGCTCCCTCTCAGGCTCGGCAATAAACCTGCTTGGACTGTGGAGTTCGCATCGCCTCTCTTCTTTCAACTTGCTCACAGATCAAGAGTTCATAGAAAAGAAAACTTACAGAGAAAACACTGAATGCTTTTAAGAAAAATGCTGCATTTCAGGGTCCTGTGACTGGCTTGCTCCGTCAGCACTGCAGGGAGATCAGGGAGAACTGGCGGCTGGGCAATCCCTTACCGTGGACATGAGGGCTACACGGCTGTGACCTTAACCACTTTATTCGTCCCTATAAAAATGCTTCCATAACCTTTCTCGGATGTCATATAGAGTAATAACCTTATTTTTTCCTGCAGGCCTTCATTCTTTTCAGTCAGTGTGCTTGTTAAAAGCTCAGATTCATAGCTACAACTTCTGGAGGGCCAGGGACATCCCTTTGGAAAGGGCGGCTCTGGCATGTCTGAAGCAGCTGGTGCTCTGGCTTGGCAGCAGGCAGCCAGCATCCAGTCCCTAGGAGGCCAACCACTCCCACCTACTCCCTTCTTGAGGGGCTGCAGGCTGCATCCTGTCCTGAGGGTCAGCTCCTGGCTGCTCTTCCTTCCCTGTAGGTGGTCTTTGCAATCAGCTTTCATTTATATGAAACACAGGAGGTGAGATGGGGAGGGATGTAGAAATTATATGGGTCCACCCCTCCCATTGTGGCTTCCAGACAGAGGGTGATGGCAGCCTGTCCATCTGGGCATTCTGATAGGCTGGCAGACCAAATGCCTACGGGCTGGGGCAGCTGCTTGGGGGTAGGGGGTGATGATTTTGAGTCCTTAAAGAGTCAAGGAAAGGCACACCTCTCAGGCCTGCACTAAATAAATGCACAGGCATCAGGGTAAAGAGTTGGAGTAGTTCTGTAAGTCAGTCAGCCAGGCTTATGTCTGAACACATCTTTCATATATTTAGAAATGAATTTTGTCAAACAGCCACTGAAAGCATAGGAAAAAAAGTCTGATGCTATCAAATGTTTGTAATAAAAATAGTTCCCAGCCCTGCCCAGATTCTAGGCTGGCCATGATGTTTCCTTACATGCAGCACATCTCAGTTTGGATGAAGCACATTTCAAATGCTTACCTGTCATTGGAGGCTACTGTATTAGACAGTGCAGATCTGGGAATTTAGCTTCTCATGTAGTTTTCCTACACAGGAAGGGAATTTTGGGGGCAGAATACCATCAGCATATGGCCCTTTGAATGCTACACCTAGTTGTTATTGTAAAGGAATAAATTGGCCTTTGGGAGTTGTGTGTATCAGGTTTTTGCATGTTTGGTTAGTAGGAGTCAGTACCTTTGACCACTCAGCTGTGGACCTGGCCCTTCACTGCGAAAGGCTGAGAACCAGATGCCTGCATGGTGATTCCCAAGGGAATTCCTCTCTGTGGGGACACGGTTGTAGCTAGCTGACCTCCCTAGGTGACTACCCTGCCTTCCCCTACCACTTTGTGTGCTGTGTGCTTTGAGCTCCCCAGTCTTCAGCAGCTCAGCACGCTGTGCCTCTCCGTTCAGCTAATACTTTTTGGGTAGCATTATGGTTTCCCACCCAGCCAGCTAAGGATGAGGATAATAAACATTTCTTTATCATAAATCCTAAGAGTGTTGACTTAATAATTTAAAAAGATGGACGTTTTCTAACTTGGGTGCCCAGTCTGGGCAGAGCGTTTGGGTTTTTGCCCAGTTGATGTGCTGGGTAGCATGAGTTGCCCACGTCCCTCCGTGCTTTGCCTATAATCCTCCTAGAACTCTGAAGTGGCTGTTAGAGAGAAAGCAAGCAAGGATGGGGAGAGAGCCTCCGTGGGGATTCCCTCCCCGCCCCTGCCGGGGAAGCTGGCCCGCAGAGCCCACCGTGCCTGCCCCCCGCGGCCAGGGGAAGCTTGGGGCTGAGTGGCTGTCACTCGGTGCAGCGGGCCCGGTCCCAGGGAGCCTCGCCTCCCCCTCACAGGCCGGGAGGTCCTGTGCGTCCTGTTCGAGCCACTCCCTCTGCTGTCCCTCTCCTGCTCTCGCTTCTTGCCAGCTCTTCCCTAGACTTAAACACTCTCCCTTCCCTGAGCTCTGCTGCCATTTCGTTTTTCCATGAACACACCCGTCCATCCTTTCCTTCCACCTGTTTGCCTTAACGCTGTGCTCCACAGACTTGGCTCATCACGACACTTGCTTGCCTGGCTGCTGGTTAAAAATAGTTTTCACCCCGGCTCCAGGGGTTGGTAGGACCAGAGGGCAGAGATGGGGATATGAGCTGGATAAATCCCCCAGGGTGTCTGACGACCAGGCCAGAGTTGGGGGGACCTGTCCTTAAGAGACTGGGTTTTCATGACAGCAATTTAAAATGGAGATGGTGCCATCTGTTCCCCACTTCACGGAGAGGCCAGGAGACAAAGGTAATATACAGGTGCCCTGATTGCATCTGGGTCTCTGGGTCATCGTGCTGCCCCCGCCGTTTGAAGTTCCCCATGACACTGCCACTCGCCTGAGTAGACCCTTCGTCCGGGCGAGAGCAGGTGAACTCCCGGACCGCCAGTAAGACTCTTCTCCTCATCCCCACCTGTCATACATAATCCTACCCTGCCTCTGGGTGCCCTCGATGGCCCCTCTCTGGGGCCTTCCCTGATGCACTCATTTCTTCCTTTCCTCTCCCATATCTCTCCTTGTGGCCCTTCATGAATCCTGCCTGCGTTACAATCTGTGCACTCATTTTTCCAAGCTTGTTGTTCTGGAGTGGAAGGCTGCCCTGCCAGCCTCCCCGGCGCCTCCAGCACGGACTTGCCCAAAGAGCCCATCCGTCAGCAAGGCTTGAATTGGACTGTAAGAAAAGAGAAACTTCCTCCTCACCCCTTCATCTTTGCCCAAGCACGCTCTGTGATTCATGATTCCATCACAGCGAAGGCTCTTGGAAGAAATTTCAGTGGATGAATTGGAAGTTGAATGGATAAACAGACTGCACCAAATTGCATGGATTTAATAAGCTAAGATTGCAGCAAACCTACTCAAGATAATTGCTAATATACACCTGCGTACCACCATAATGCGCTGCACGGCGGGACAGCAGAGTCCTTATTTACATTTGAGATTATTCTATGAAGTTTTGTAGTCTTCTGATTACAAGCTGGTACATCATTTGGAACCATTCCCAAACACTGTCAGTCCCCAACATTCCTTTCTGCCTCTCCCGTCTCCTTATTTCCCTTCATCTATATTGGAAGGAGAAGGGAAATGAACAGCTAAAAGCAAATCCTCACTAACCTGGAATTTGAGGCCTATTTCCTAGTGTCTGTGTGACTACATGTGCAGAATCTCAGTTGTTTTTCATATGCACACAAGACTGTGGATGAGGAACTCCAAGCGCCAATGGTAGATGGCAGCGCATCTCCCCCTGGATTCTGGGGCTGAGCTGAGCTTTCACTGTTGGCCACAAAACTGGCTTCTCACTTTCCTTCTGTCTGGGGTCATTGTTCTTTTCATAAATGTGCCAATGTAAACAGACAATGGTCACCTCCCTCAGCTCCTAAAGGTGACCCAGAAGTCCTCCCATTCATATATCACTCAGGTGTACAGCAGTAAAGGTGCTTACCTAGTAAGCTCTGTGCTAGGCATTTGACATAATTATCTCATGGTACACAAAATAAGCTTGTTTAAGGAATTAGTGGTAGAAGTAGAAGACTCTTCCATGGCTCAAGAGAAATGTCAGCTTGTGCAGTATCTTGGATCTCTGAGACCACCTTGAGGTTGTAAAGATTAAAATTCCTTCCTTTGCCCTGAGGGGACAGTAAGTATAATATTATGAGCTAGTACTTTGGGGGTACTTGCCATGTTCTGGGCATTGTTCAAAACCTTCTAGGTACATCAATTTACTGAATCCTTCCCAAAGCCCTATGGCATAGGACCATTATCCCTGTTTTGGAGGTGAAGAAACGAAGACACAAGAGATTAAAGTCACTTTAAGGCCACACAGCAGGGGAACGGAAGAGCTCGTAGCCGATCCCTGGCAGTCCAGTATTAGAACCTGTACTTTTACCCAGCACCACTTTTGCCTCCCACGAAAGCAACATAACCTATGAAAGCACAAGACACCAGGCTGTGAGGACCTCTCCTGCGTGGTGCTCGCAGTGTAGAGTCCTGGGGCAGCTTGTCAGGGCCCACTTCTGGTTTCTGGGAGCAACACCTTGGGCATTCAGATTGCTGTGGAACACCTGCTCTCAGTCACCTGCTTCCCCGGTGCCCCTCTCTCCCCAGGAGGCCCAGATCCATCCTCTGGCAACGTCTCCCCTGCCAAGACCTCACCCACCTTTAAGCCGAGGTCCAGCTCCCTCAGTGAGCGCTGGATCTCTCTGGTGAGGATGTTCATTCGTTCACACTCCTGGAAGGCAACTACTATGTACGGGGTGCGCTCCTCCACTTTGGCCATCAGCTCTGAGATGTTAAACTCATCTGTCACCCGCTCCAGTATTTCTTCCAGGAGGACCTTGACCTGCCCTGCAACAGGAAACACAGGGTTAAGAAGGGGCTCTAATTCTCCAGAAGGGCTCCATTCCCTTGTGGTGTGGCCCCAAAGAGGCCAATCATCCATCCCCGGGCCACACTGGTGCCCGCTTGCTCAGGTCAGCTAGGCCGGAGGTGTGGACCCACCATGGGATGGCCTCTCTGTAGGCTAGCCGGCTCCCTGCGGCTTGTGTGCCCAGTTTAAAAAGATGAACACAAATGCCTTTCTAAGAATTGGGAATTGGAAAAACCTAGAAACTGACCCAGTTATCTATAGGAATCAAACTAGAAAAGCCTAGGATAGCCAAGGGCAGTCATCTGGGACCACAGGACAGCAGCAGTGACGTATATATATTTACACACACGCCCATTCTGAGTCCCTGAGGCTGCACTGCAGTGTCTGCCCCTGGGTCCTGGAAGAGACACCCCCATCTATCAGGTGGATCTCCTTTCCACCCCACGATTCCTTTTACCACACAAGGTGCCAGCTAATTAGACCAGGGGAGCTGGAACATCCAAGGTCTCGCTCCTGGAAAATTGCAACTGAGATACTGGGCTCCTTGGAGCGAGCAGCTGAAGGCTGCACCTACTATTTTGAAGTGAATGAGTAAGGCCAGGAGGTCTGTAAGCAGAGGAAGAAAAATGAAACAAGTGGAGACATAACGGCATATGTGTCCAGCAGAGAGGGAGGAGGGGAGGGAGAGCACGAGCCAAGGAGAGTGCCAGCCCTTCCTGGTCGTGCCAGCTGAGCTCCAGGCTTGTGGTGACCGGCTGTTATTTTTGCCTGTTTGCCTTCCATCTCCCCTTTGTCTGTAACTTCCCCATCTCCTTTTGTGAAATTACCCCTTCTTCCCTGTTTTGGGTACAGTCATGGAGCTCAGCCCTCCCGTGACCCAAGCAGGCTGGTCAGAGTATCTTCCACAGAAACAGGAGCATCTGCGTGTCCAGCCTCGGACTCAGCGCGGGGCCGTGGCTGGAGCCCCTGGCAGGATGGAAGTGCTCTGACAGGGCTCCCCCAGGGCCCCTAGAGCCTCTGCGGTGGCGAGCCTCTCTCAGATCGATTCCTTTGATATAGCGAGCTATTTCTTGTCCATTTTAGCTACACTGGTCTCTGCTGCTTGCAGCCAGAGAGCCCTGACTGAGTTAAAACCGTCCTGTTATGCGTTACCCGTGTGAGTTTAAGGAAGTCATTTAGGCCTCAGTTTTCTCATGTACAGAAATTTCTAAGAGTGTCTTTCTCTACCTGCCCCTTCTCCCCCAACTCCCCAGGCTGATGTGAAGATCAAATCAACTGAGTTGATGAACGCGGCAGCATCTGAAAGCTATAAAGCACTACATAAATGTACAGGATAATTAATATTCACCCTTCCTTGTATTGTTAACACACAATACATTCTCTAGGAAAAGAGCTGGTGTTAGAAAAAAAGGAGGTAAAAATTCATCACCCTGTCACAAATGGGTCTCCGGTGCTGTCATAGCAAAAACTGGGATGGAATTTTAATGGTAGCTGAAAGCTGCTGCTGGGGTAGAAGACAAACGGCTAACATACTTCTGTCTTTGGAGCTGAATTTGAAGAAACAGCCCTCTCTCAGTGAGCTGCCATTTGGACATTATTCACAAAAAGATAAAAAGATAGTGTGGAGGCATTGTTCCAAAATCCACTGGACGTGGGGTAGCAGTTCTGTTCTGTCGCCGATGGGGCTGTGGAGCATTTGGGGAGCAGGCGTGCCAGTGAGGGACCCGTCAGCGAAGGGAGCAGACCCACAGCTGCAGACAGGACCCGCTTCTACCCCTTCTCAGGGGGCAGCGGGCCCCAGGGACGTGGTCTGCTTTATTTGTACACAGGGACACCTCTGCCTTTTTTCCTTTTTGGGAAAGTGAGAAATGCTTACTGCAAAAATCTCAACATTACAGATACTTAGGATATTGGGAGCAAAATCTTCCCACCATCTTGCCTCTTCCCTTCAAAGGGGAAAGAAAAGCCACTGTTAGCTGTTCATTTTTTTGGCTTATAGTTCCTGCAGTTGTCCTTCAGTGCATACAACTCTCCACCACCTTCCGTTCCCCCTCCGTCCATGTCCTTAACCACCATGCCCGTCCGCGGTGCCCTCCTCCTGCCTTCCTCTTCCCACCGCCCCCCCACCTCCCTTCCCTTTTCTCCACCCATCATTAAGGGAAGCATACCTCACATGGCTTTTTCAGCTGTGTTCTTTTAATCTATACAATGACTCTTGGACACATTCCTTGTTAGTATGTATGCATATGTCCTTTTTTGTTTAACAGTATATATGTGTATGTATGTGACTGTTTCAGCATATGCAATTTATTGCATCTTTCCCCTATTGATGGATATTTGGTGTGTTTATCACTTCTGCTACTAGCAATGCTGCACTAGATAAATATAAATATATCATCAAATCTGTGCACTGCTGAGTGTTTCCACTGGCTGAATTCCTAGAGATAGAATTATGAGTAAAAAGTAAGAACTTTTTAAATGCCAGTAGCTATTGTCAAATTGTCCTCTAAGTAAAACCTCTACCAATAGGGAGGAACATGCGTGTTTTCTTCTGTCCTCAACCACTGGATATTATCACATTTAAAAACCTTCCCTGTTAGGTGAAAAATGAGATGTTGCTCAACTTCATTTAGTTGTGAGTGACTCTGAGAACACATTACTATTTTTATTGGCCATTTATTTGTATTATTATGTGAATTTCTTTTGTGTCTGGGTTCTTCCCCCTCCTCTCTTCTTTCTCCTTCTCTTTTCATATGTAAGAGCTCTTTGTAGACTAGCAAAACTGTCCGCTTCCCTGTGGTATCTGTGCTACCAATAGGTTCTCCAAGTTTGACTTTGTTCAGGATATTTTTTGCTTTGCAAATATTAAAAATTTTTTAAGACATCAAATTTTTCAATCTTTTCCTTTATAGATTCTGAGTTGCCTTTTTTTTTAAAGGTTTTATAAGGCTTTCATAAGATCATAAAAGCATTCTCCCAAGGATTAGGGAGCCAGGGACCCTGCTTCACCTCTCTCCTTATGACTCACCAGCTGTTCGATGCTAAAGAAATCCAGTAGTCCAGGGCAAATGGAGGGCAGACAGCTCCTCACCACGGAAGCAGCAGGGGTGGTGTCCAGAGGCCAGTCGTGAGCCTCTAAAATTCATATGTTGAAGTCCCAACCCCCAGTACCTTAGAATGTAACTGTATGTGGAATACTTAAAGAGGTAATTAAGTTAAAATGAGGCTGTTAAGATGGCACCTAATCTGTAAGACTAGAATCCTTCCAGAAAGAGGAGATTTGGACACACAGAGACCAGGGGCACAGGAGTGCAGAGGAAAGGCCTACTGTCGACCCCATGGGAAGACAGCCACCTCCGAGCCAGGGAGAGAGGCCCCAGAAGAAGCCAGCCCTGCTGGCGCCTTTGTCTTCGATTTCTAGCTCGTAGAACAGTGAGAGAATAATTTGGTTGCACCCTGTCGGTGGCACTTTGTTACAGCAACCTAGCAAACAAAAATGGCCGGGTACCCCCCTGATTCATGGCAGATTCATCCGCCTAACAGAGGCATCTGGGGCCATGCAGCACTCGCAGCTCAGGTCATCCAATGAGCCATGGTGTCCCAGAGAAAATGCAAGCTTGGGTTGAACACTGTGCTGGACTGCTGGCGTCCTCTGCCCAGCTTCCATGCCCCCTGACTCTTCTCTCTTCCCTAGGCACATGGCTGCCCAGCTATACACTCCATTTCCCGAATTTTCTTCCCTGTAGATGTGGACATGCAAGGGATTTGGGTCAGTAGTCTGTGAGTGTATATGTGCAGCCTCTGGCCCATTTCCAGCTCAACACACAAACACTCCCTCGGTTTTGGCTGTGTGCTGTCCTCTGGGGCTGTCCCGTGCATGTGAAGGAGCACGGCTCGGGAGAACACGCAGGCGCTGAGAGAAACTGACTGTCCCGGGTGAGCACTGGGACACTGCACAACTGACAAACACACTAACTCGCACACCTGCTTCCCGCACACCACAGTTACGGCCAGTGAGCACGGCTCACTTGTTTCTGCGAGACCCATACCCACACCCACACCACAAACCCACACGCACCCTCACAACCCCAAACACCCACACACACCTACACTCACACCTACACCCACCCACATCCACCCCCACATCCACACATGTCACCTCCCACATACACATTCACACACACACGTCATTTCCCATCATGTCCTTGTCATCCTCTCATCATGTCCAACTCTACTGAGCTGGGCAAAGGTGATAAGGAAATAACAAGATCTAGAAGCTTCTTTGAACCCCGCCTAAAGAATCCTAAATCTATTATTTATATAGTCTCAGCCTTTTTTCATTTTTAGAGCTAGGAACATTTTTCACACTAGGTGGTTTGGATTCTGAGCAACATAAAATGTCTTCTCTGCCTTTTGTTCTCAAATGATATCTTATGCATCAAACAGTGAAACAGGCTGAGTGACATGATTTAGAGCAGCTTTTTCATGTGCATGCTCACCTGCATCAGAGTCACCAGGGAGCAAATTCCTGGACCTAACCCCAGACGTCAGATTCTGAATTTCAAGCTCCCTAGCTCATTCTGAGGTATTTGAAAATTTAAGAACTACTATTTTAATGACACCACTCCATACCTTTAAGCAAAAGTCCAGCCCCTTTAATATCAGTCAGTTTTCCTAAAATCGATCCCTGGTGCCTCAAAGACTGATACCTACCCTGGTTTCCTAACCCTGAATCTTCCAAGTATGTTTCCTGGTAAGGCCAATGGAATCTCCAAGTAAAGATTACAAGGACCCAGGCTGTCCTGTGGAGTGCAGGTGGGGCGAGGGGCGTCCATCTCTTGGGGGCTGGATTTGCATGCCCCAGGAAAAGTTTCCCTTTGGTGCCCTGGGCCTTCTCTGCCCTTGGCTGCACCCATCAGGAGCAGAGCCCTCAGACTGCCTCTGGTTGTCCCACAGCTAGCACCTCACGCTGGTCAGCTCCGTCATTCCTACAACCTTCTTGACACTCCGGAAGCCCCATGCTCACCAGCACCTAACTGTGCGTTGGAAGTCAGATTAACTCTTCTGCACAGAGAGAAGGCACTTTCATTCTGAAGAATGCTTTCATCTGCCTGAGCATCCGGTTGGTGGGATGATGGTGGAGGCGTTTAGGAGCAGCTGCCCCCCCATCGTGAAGTCAGTTTCAAGGTTCCCAAACCACCATTGTTCAGTCCTGCCTTTTCTTCACTGTGGCAGGAAAACTGAATAGACATGGACTTCGGGTGGACTAGCAAAGCAAACGGCCAAACCCCAGGACAGGGACTTTGCATGATTTAACCAGATGGCCAGCCTGGTGACATGACCAGGGAGGGGGCCTCCTGGAGGTGAGGGGCACGCATGCCAAGGCTGGACCGGCTGGCCATGTGCAAGGGGAAGGAGTGCACAGTGCGGTGCTGTGTACTGGGGCCCCCCTGTGACCCATAGGCTGACCTTTTCTTCTCTTGTGGCTCCTGCCCCTTCTCCACCTTGGGTGTCCCGGGGCTGCAGCTCCAGGACCATGCGAAAGAGCTTTTCCGAGGTCTGGGTCAGGAAGCCGATCTCTGCATTGGGGTGGAGGCCATAGAGGTAGGGCGACTCTGCGGGCAGCTCGGCATCGATGTACTGCAAGTCGAGGGCAAGCCCATTAAAGAGCAGCACCTCCCCTCTCCCACTCTGGATCTGCCCTGAAGGGCAGTTGGTGGGCCAGAGCAGGCCCCCGGCAGCAGTGTCCCTTTGGCCCTCCAGGAGAGCACACTCAACCGACGCCGGTCACATATTCTCTACCTGTTAGTGCACATCCTCTCCCCGGCCTTTCCTGACACCATCTGTTTTTGCAGGTGGGCTGGTTTTCCAGACTTCACATTCACAAGAGCATTCTCTTGTCCGGGAAGCTTAGAGGACTTTATCCCCAATCTCACGCCCTTCACCGCTGCCTGATATACACCGGTCCCTCCATGCGCAAGAAGGATGCTCAGTGTCCTTCAGAAATGCTAATCCCAACCTGGTGTTTGTGGCCAAGCTCTTCTAGGGTCCCAGCCCACTTCCCCTTAAATTCGGTTTCTCTAAATCAGGAATCACAAAGCTGAACACAAACATAGGGACAGGCATACAGAATAAATGTGTGAATCAGGCTGTGGGATGAGGTGAGTTTTGCTGTGAGCTGGAGAGTACCTATCTCTGGTGGAAATTATTAGAATTTTAAAAACTTAAATCTGCGTCACCAAAACGACGCCTCTCTGTGGTCAGTTGTGGTGGGCCACAGTCTGCCGTCCCTAAAAAAGTCCTCCCCGGCTCTTAATCCTCTCCAGCTCACTTTCTTTTCTGAATGGTCTCCAAGTACTCCTTCCCAGTTCTTTCTGTCACAGTGAGAAAACATCCCTCAAGTTTAGCTCCTGATTTGATTTTGATGTTTTCTTGGTGTTATTAACATCTAGTCTAAGTAAAATATTGCTCATTCCTCAAAGGCAAATCTGTGTGTTTATTTTTGTATTTCTTTCAGCATCCAGCCCAGCACACTCCTAGGCTCTTGGTAGGTTCCCTATAACAACCTGTTAATGGACAGATGAGAGACAGGTATGAAGAAAAGGAAAATCTACTGCAGTGATTTGGAAATGGACGAACCACGTTATTGATGCCCAGCACGGCTCCAGCCTCTTGTCTAATTGTGTCACGGACACTAGGGGACGCTCTTGCACAATTTTCTTGGTTAAAGTCTT